GAAGCTCATTCTCTTCACCAATTCTACCAGCGAAGAAACAAAATGCAACATGGAAAATGTGTTGACCAAGGGCCCTTAATGCTACAATTAATGATAGATTCTTAATTCCCATAATAGATAAGCTCTTTGATGAATTGTTGGAAGCCACCATTTTCAGCAAACTCGATTTGCATAATGGCTATCATCAGAACCGTATAGGACCCGAAGATGTTTACAAAATGAAATTTAGGACACATGTGTCAGGCAGGTCCAAGGGAAGCCCGTGGCGGGAGACCACCACCAATGGGCTAAGGCTACACCAACTGTAGCAAGTGGATCTGACACCATGTCTCAACCCAAAACCTTAAGGCATTGGGTTCATAGGTCCCTTCCACTTATATACTCTTCACTTAGCCCATTACCAACCAATGTGGGACTCATCACACTTGAATATCCCAACAATCTCCCCCTCAAGTGTGAAACCCATCATAGATTTGCTCCCCCTCAACTGAGTACTCCTGGCTCAAGTACTCAACCTGCCTCCTAGCCAATCATCAGGCTAGCTCGAGCACAACCCGACTCTGATACCAATGTCAGGCGGGTCCAGGGGAAGCCCGTGGCGGGGGACCACCACCAATGAACTAAGGCTACACCAACTGTAGCAAGTGGATCTGACACCATGTCTCAACCCAAAACCTTAAGACATTGGGTTCATGGGTCCCTTCCACTTATATACTCTTCACTTAGCCCATTAACAACCAATGTGGGACTCATCACACTTGAATATCCCAACAATCTCCCCCTCAAGTGTGAAACCCACCATTAGTATGCTCCCCCTCAACCGAGTACGGGGTCCAAGTACTCAACCCGCCTCCTAGCCAATCACCAGGCTAGCTCGAGCACAACTCGGCTCTGATACTAGTGTCAGGCGGGTCTAGAGGGAAGCCCGTGGCGGGAGACCACCACCAATGAGCTAAGGCTATACCAACCGTAGCAAGTGGATCCGACACCATGTCTCAACCCAAAACCTTAAGGTATTGGGTTCATGGATCCTTCCACTTATATACTCTTCTCTTAGCCCATTACCAACAAATGTGGGACCCATCACACTTGAATATCCCAATAAAGATCTAGGCGCTGCAAATGTGATCTTGGGTATGCAGATTAAGAGGGAGCGTGACAAAGGAAGATTATGGTTAAGTCAGCGGAAGTATATAAGTGGAAGGGACCCATGAACCCGATGCCTTAAGGTTTTGGTTTGAGACATGGTGTCGAATCCACTTGCTACGGTTGGTGTAGCCTTAGCTCATTGGTGGTGGTCCCCCGCCACGGGCTTCCCCTGGACCCGCCTGACATTGGTATCAGAGCCAGGTTGTGCTCGAGCTAGCCTGATGATTGGCTAGGAGACGGGTTGAGTACTTTGCGCTTGGGGTACTCAGTTGAGGGGGAGCATATCAATGTTGGGTTTCACACTTGAGGGGGAGATTGTTGGGATATTCAAGTGTGATGAGTCCCACATTGGTTGGTAATGGGCTAAGTGAGAGTATATAAGTGGAAGGACCCATGAACCCAATGCCTTAAGGTTTTGGGTTGAGACATGGTGTCGGATCCACTTGCTACGGTTGGTGTAGCCTTAGCTCATTGGTGGTGGTCCCCCGCCACGGGCTTCCCTCTGGACCCGCCTGACAACATGAAGGCCATTATGAGTTTTGTGTAATGTCGTTTTTCCTCACAAACGCTCCTGCCATGTTTCAAGCAGCAATGAACAAGATATTTCGTCCATTTCTGAGAAAGTTTGTTGTGGTGTTTTTCGATGATGTGTTGATATATAGTGCAATGATGGAAGATCATGTACAATACTTGCAGATGACTTTCTTATGTTTATAGGAAAATTATTTCTTTGTAAAGTTGAGTAAACGCGAGTTTGGTGTTAATGAGATATCATATTGAGAGCATTCTTAGGCTTAAATGGAAACTATCGGGTTTGTGCATCAGTATGCCACTTTAGCATCTCCATTAACTGATATGTTGAAAGCTGATAAAATTGTTTGGACACCTGGAGCTATTGCTGCTTTTCAAAACTTAAAAGTAGCAATGTGCACCACTCTAATATTGGGTTTGCTTGACTTTAAATCACAATTCATTGTTGAAACAGATGCTTCGAATTCTGGAATAAAGGCTACATTATTACAATCCAGCAAACTATTGCTTATTTCAGTCGAAAGCTAGGACTGAGACTTGCAACAACTTCCATTTATATGAGGGAGCTTTACACGATAACCGAGGCTATGAAAAAGTGACGTCATTACTTGTTGGGGATGCATTTCATCATCAGAACATATCACCAAAGCATCTGTGAGCTTTTCTCCCAGATCATACAAACTTAAGAGCATCATAAGTATGTCTACAAGTTATTGGGATATAGTTTTGCCATTGAATATAAACCTACAACAACAAATGGGATGGCTGACGCGAATTACAAGATTTCGAAGACCTCACTTTAGACTTCTTTATAAGATTTCCATGTTCCAAAGGTTTCTCCACTATTTTGGTGGCGATTGATCGAATTACTAAGTATGCTCGCTTTGGTCCTCTTCCATCAGCTTACACAGCAGCAATGGTGGCCATTCTCTTTTGTGATATGATTATTAAACACCATGGTTATCCTAGATCTTTGGTGTTTGATCGTGATCCAATATTCATGAGTCAATTTTGGCAAAAGTTGTTTCGATTGAGTGGACCAAAGTTGAATCAAGTTCCTCTTATCACCCTCAATCAGATAGGGCAATCTGTGATCTCAAACAATATCTCGAACAATCATACATTTTGTGCTAATCATGTTCACCGTTGGGTCTCTTTTTTGAAATAGGCACAATTTGCACTACAATTCACCAGTTCATTCTTCCATTAATATGATGGGATAAGTTATTATTTCTTCCTTTTTTTTGCTTCCCTTTGTCTACCACTCTCAAACACCGTTAGGTCAGAATCTAAAGAGGAGAGAGAAAGATTAATGTTAATTAAGATTCTGATCTAACGGTCTTTTAGAGTGGTAGACAACGGTAGGCAGAAAAAAAGATAGGTAGAACAACGTATCCCTAATATAATACCATTGCAAGCTCTTTAGGGTAGTTACGTGGGCTGAATGTAAATAACAGAAATAAAGGTAGATGGTAAAATTTAGTTGGAGAGAGAAACTAATTTGGCTGTAGTATAAAACAGTGGCAATAGTTTGTACGTAAGACATGCAATAACAGAATTTAGTTTCTTGTTTTCCTTTCAATACAAGTTGTTAACTTGTATCAAGACGTTTCAATCTAATATAAGTTAGATGTTATCTGGACAAAAATCACCATAAAACAAAGCCGTTGCGTGTTGATATTGTAAAAAATTGTTGGATTTCATTCATTAGTACTGGAGTTTATACAAAATTAACACTGGTAACAGAGATCAGAGAAGGACTTTCACAAGGACATAGAGTACATTAAGACTACAATACAACATGAATAAATGGCATAACCAAGGGAATGAGCATAATCTAACGGAGACAAATTGCTTGCATGCATGCAAATAGTCAAATATGATTATACTTTTGCTCTCGTTTTTTATAAATTCTTATGTACCTAATTACTTCATGCTATAGGTGCTTTCAACCGATTGTCATGCTGTCTTATCATTTCGGTTTTTTTATCTTATCTTAGTTTTGGGTGCTAACACAATGACATACACACACATTATATTAGCATGGAAAGAAGAATCACATATTAGGGGAATTCTTGCTTCTGCATAATGTGCTTGTGGTTCCAAGCTTCAATTCTGTAGCTAAACGACTGAATGTTCGCTCCGGCCTCTACTACTTTTCTGTTCTCATTTATTAATTCTGGTGGAATGTGGTGTTGTATGAAAAAGTATGCAATGCAATCTAATCCAATATATATACTGAAATCGAAGACACTAAGATTATGTTCATATTACTGATATCTATACAGATTTCTATAAAAGCAACAAGATCTAATTAATCCTATTTTTACTATAAAAATATGGGTTTGCTTTTTCTGTAGTTAATACAGATAAGTTATTTGCAGTAAGCTCAATACGACGTCGTTTTGGGGCGAAAATCATGGTGTTTTTGTAATTTTAATTTATTTCAGAGTTATTATAGTCTTTATAATTATAATTTTCTAATCTTTCAATCTCAAAATGACATCATTTTGAAAGTAAATGCAGATAACTTATCTGCATTAACGGCAGAAATATTTTTCTGTAAAAAATATATTATTATCACTTATTGCTAAAAAGTATTAACAGATGACTACAGTCTTTTTTTTTTTATTTTGAATTAGTATCTTTGAATAATTTCCCTGTATGGTCCACCTAAAAGGAAATAACCATACCATTTCTTTTGCAGTCAAAGTATTAATCGGGTGATCAAACTCTCCATTCAAAAGATAACAGCGTTAGTAGCATTCCAGAAGTGCCAACAACCAGCTACGGGTCATAAAATATTTATTGATATTCGGTTTCATACATAAATGTTTCGGAATTAATTAAATATGAACATAAGTTAATAAATGTTTAACAAACTCACACCAAGTACTAGCTGGTAAGTGGTACCATAAAAAGAAGAGTCCAAATTATAATCTTTACCCCAAATTACTCAAACACCAATGTGTAACCTAAAATCTTCTTAACAACACTCGATTTGACCAAACATGGTTTCCTCACATAATCCATCATGAGGTAAACCCTATGAGCTAATCCTGCATCTCCAAGAAAACAAACACGCTTATTCTCAAGCCACGCTCTTGTCCCATCCAATAGGAGAAAACCCTTTTCCCTTACGTGGCAAATCTTAACTGGTTGTGTCATTCAAGTAACCCCTTTGGAACTTTTGTCTTGACTCAGAAGAGCAACTATTTTTAAAGTTGCAAGTTGAGGGAGCTCTATTTTTGAATAAAAGGAAGTATGTCTCTCCCTTTTCATAGGGTCGCAAATCTGTTATTACCTCTTCCAAAACAACAATGGATCAGAATCAGCTTTCAAATGGAAGAAAGGCAATGGAACAGGAGCTACTCAGAGGGCGTGATATAGCAAATCAGTTACTTGAAGTACTTGTTCATAAATCGAATGCTCACCATGGAGATGTAAGAGGGTCAATGTTACCATTTGCTGAAGATCTTGTGCGCAAGGTACTGAGATCATTCACAAACACCCTTTTCATCTTGAAAACCAATAATGATGTCTCCAATGAGGTGGTTGTTCCTATCACTGTCAGGGATTTCTCTTCTTCCGCTAATTGCCAAAAGCCTGAGGATACAGATGAGACTCGCGAGAGTTTCTTCAACCCTAAAAGTAGAAGAGGGTGCTACAAGAGAAAGTAAGAATTATAAAGTCATATATACCTTGCTAGCAAATTACTTGTTATGATTATTGTTGATTATCATATTTGAATCTTCTTGTTTTCCTTAAGAATTTGATAGTATCATGTTATGTTATGAAAGACAAAGACGCTAAAGTAAATATATTTGTGTTAATCTCTCATATCATTACATTACACACAATATTCTTTAACAAAAATGAGAGATCAAAATCCACTGTCACCCGCTCTATAGGATCTAAATTTTCTCAGCAACTAATCTCAGTAGCTATGGTTGGTCTGAACTAATATTTATATTTAATTTTATATACTTTTTTCCTAAGTAATTTAATTTTTTATGTTAAATTAGATTTCTCTCTTTATTTTTCATAAAATTATTTCTGTCTCTAAGCTTTCAATTTCTAAATTCAGCTAAACTTTATATGTTAGTTTTGCAACTAAATTTCAAAGCTTTTCCTTTCAAACAGTACATATTATCCTAAAAATATTCTCTTGATACTTTTGGCTTATCCAAAAGAATCATGCTGCTATTTCGCCCCATCTAATTTCATTACAGTTTTAAACAGCATCTTAACTAGGTCAACTAGATTGAATGACCATGAGTATACAATTATTGGATTAACTTTGATATAGATTTTGATTTCATAAATATTTTAGTTAGTATAATACTGGATTAGTTATGCAAACAATTAATTAAATAAGAATTTTATAATTGGAATATTTGTCTTCATAAGGTCAACTGCACCAACTTGGGAGAGGGACAGCTCAAATCTGATTGAAGATGGCTATGCCTGGAGAAAGTATGGACAAAAAATGACAATGAATGCTAAATATCTTAGGTATTCTTCAATTTCAAATTATAGACTACCAAAAACCCCTTTATCTCTATAGGTCACTCTTCTTAATGATGTATCTAATATGATTAAAATAATTTGAATGTGTGTGTAGGAGCTACTTCAGATGCACTCACAAGAATGATCAAGGCTGTCCAGCAATCAAGCAGGAACAGAGAATTCAAGAGGACCCTCCATTGTATCGGACAACATATTACGGCCATCACATATGCAAAAGCTCTTTAACTTCAGAGATAATTTTGGAACCTAATTCTTCTTCTGGCTCTTCTATATTCCTTAACTTCAATAACAGCCTTCCAAGCAAAGAAGAATACCCTTTTTCATCATCACTTTTTGCATCCACAAAACATGAGCCTATGGAAGTGATTCCCAATGACCATTTTGCTCACAACCAATTGCCCTCATCAGATTACCCCATGTCATGTGACTATGAACTTGATTTGAGTTATTCAAGTCTTGTTACTATGCTACCATATACCGAATCTGTTCAATTTGATCAAAACGCTTATGGGTGTAGTTTGGATTTTGATGGCTAGGCACGTTTCAGTATTTATTTCAAGGAGAGCAAGGCATTGGTGACTTCATCTTGGAACAGGGCTTAATTCTATGGATGATGTTACCATAATTAGGAAAGTGTTTGCTAGTGATTTATGGGTTTCAATTTTCTTATGCTGAATAAAATTTTCCCATACACATCATGTATGGGACCTACATTTATTAAAAAAATAAAAAAAAAGATTACACAAAAATCGAAAGATTACTGATAGAAAAAAATAATTCTCTTACAATATGAGATAATATTTTTCCTTAATTTATTCACAAAAATAAGTTCAAGTGCAAAGGTGGGTGTGTGGAAAATATTTATAAAAATTAAGATACTTATTTATTCTTAAAAACTAACGTTAACATCCAGAGGTGTTGTTTTCTTTCGGCTCTGAATTGTTATGTTGCAGCCTCCGCTATTCTATGATTTTTTTTTTTAAGTAAAAATTCTATGATGATTTTGGACAAATGAACGATGCACCTCGAACTTTTGTCCTCTGAACCAGTGTTTTAAAACCTTGGGTCGACTCAGGTTAATCTGGATCTCCTTTGTATGAAGGTTGGGGTCAGTAGTTAGACCCTCCACGGATGTTGACTCCTCTAACCCCCAAAACTGGTTGGGTCTCGGTGACTTTCGGGTCAAAGGAATCACAGGAGGTCACTGCATTTATTTATTTATTTATTTTAAAAATCACACGAAACGACGTCGTTTTGTGAAAAAAAAATTGCTGCTAAACTAAACCCCAGACATCTTTACCTCGACGGTTCCTCCTCCTCTTCCCCTCTCCTCTGCCGCTCCGCCTCTTCGGTCTTCTTTCTCTGTTTCGCCACCGCCTCTCCTCCGCTGTGGTGGTTCTTCTATTTACTAATGCACTCTTTTTCTTGGTTGGTTTCTCTGCTCTGAGCATGTACGATATTATTTTATTACTGAGCAACAGGGTTTAAAGCTTTCTCTGATCCTGATGTATTTGCTCTCATATCAAGAAGACAGTAGATAAAAAATGATGCAAACTGTAACACCCCGTATATATCCGGTAATGTTATCATATCATCGTATTAAGCTGCGCTTAAATAAAAATGCGGAATATCTTTTTCTTTTCAATTATGATGTCATTATCATTACCAACTTGCTTATTAATCAATTAATAAAACATCACCTGTATGTAAATTGCAAAACACAGCTAACTGAAATACCTCATTACATTAAAAACATAAGTATGTCTCTAGTCACGGAACTACAATACGTAGGCCGGACAACTATCAGATTATACAACTCAACATAACAGTGCTAACAGCCAAGTGGCATGGACAAACCCTGTAACACCCCGTATATATCCGGTAATGTTATCATAATATCGTATTAAGCTGCGCTTAATTAAAAATGCTGAATTACTTTTTCTTTTCAATTATGATGCCATTAACATGACCAACTTAATAATCAATTAATAAAACACCGCCTGTATGTAATTGCAATAAAACAGCTAACTGAAATACCTCATAACATAGATAATATAAGTGTGGCTCTAGTCACGGAACTACAACAATGCAGACCGGACCATCTACCAGTTTATACAACTCCAATCTATAAGGACTAACAGAAAGTGTCATGGACAATCCCCATGCTCACTCAAATAAGGCAACATGCCCAACATCAGTCTCAACAACAACATAACATAAATAGCGGAAAACATAAACAGCAATCCAAATCCAGTCATGCTAACATAAAACAGTAAGACATAATCAGCTAAGCTCCGGCCTCCTGCCGCCTGAGGCATCAGTACCCATACTACCTGATCCTGAAATAAGCATTCCCCAAACGTGGGGTAAGATCTCTAATCTAGAAATCTCAGTAAGTCAGTGAGTCCTCAAGGATCTTCCATCCCAAGCTCACTTACATGTGCAATATAAGTTCAAAAGCAGTTTATCATTTATCATTTCTAAAACAATGCAATGCAGCAGATAATCATGCCATGTGTGTCAATACTAATCTACTGGCCAGAGACAGTGCAGGTATACGTCTATCACCTACACACCGTGCAAGTACCACTTGCATTCACCCCGGTACACCGTCTTGTATGGATCTACATACTCAGGCTTCCCGTCAAGATGAAACAACACATGCATATTAAAAGCCATTACATGTAAAGTTCAATCAACATATCAAATATCCAAAAGCATGTACACAGCATGCATAAACCATACCCCCATGGGACATGGTGGAACCACAACATGGCTAAACCGAGGACGCGAAAGCTTACCTTGCAAGCTAACTCCAAAAGCCAAGAGTCCACAGCTCAAAGTCCAAACACAGCAGATTCGCAATCTGTTATGGACCAACAATACATCAACAACATGCACCGCAAGCATACAATATTAAGACAACGCTTTTTCATTACGTTTTCAAGTCTTAAAGCTTCTAACAAAGCCACAAGCCATTAATCCCATGATTCTTGCTTAATCCATTAAATACAGAAGTTCAACTTCATCAAACTAGGGTCCATAAACCCCCAAAGCCTACTGTACACACAGCACAGCTGCTGTTCTGCGAAATCCCAGAATATCCGGATATCTCGCTGTCCATATCCGGATATGCAATATCCGGAAATACAGATTCACATATCCGGATATCCCAAAACCACGTATCCGGATATCCAATATCCGGATATCAGTTCGACAAATATCCGGATATCTCACGACAGAATGCAGTTTCTGCATTTTCGTGAAGATATCCCAAAAAGGTTCCCTTTTTACCGATTTTAAACACCTAATCATGCATTTCTAGATGTGTTAAGCCTCACCCAACAACAAGTTATCATCTTTTAACCTTAACATGCATCAAGCTTTCATTTTTAAGCCTTAGAACTCAAGTTAAAGGTTGGTACAACATACCAAGGCTCAAAACTCAGAAGTAAAGGCTCTTGGAGCTCCACACTCTGCCTCTCCAAGTCTGACTTGAAGGGTACACGAAAATTCTACCAAAGCTTGGCCCTTTCCACACAAAGGAAGCTCCTTGGAGCTTCACAAGCCAAGAGCAAGACTCTCACCACCTCAACTCAATAGGACAACCCCTCCAACACTCACAAACAGTAACCCCAACACAGAACAGGGTCAACAACACAGCCCCAAAGCTACTCTCACCCCACACCAAGTGTTTAGGAGAAGGATTTGTGAAGGAAGTTGCCTCAAAGCTCAAGAAATGGAAGAGGAACACAATGGAACAGTACTCAGCAGTTGGCCAGCCCCAAGACTCACGTAGAGAATGTGTTATGGCCTAGGGTTTTGTGCTAACAAGCCTATATATAGCCACTTAACATAAAACACACAGTATTAACTTTAATTGCTACGCTTAGCATTTTAATCCCAAACTTTGGATTATGAAACTACATAACTTTCTAAGATTTATCATATTTTTCTAATAATTTTCTGAGCACCATTCCGGTACGCGCTTTTCCAAGCCAGTACCGATTTCCAGCACCAGTTCTCATTATCTGGACTTGAAACTCGTTTTACAAGTCCTACATATTATTCTAGTAATTATCATGCACTTACATTAATTTTCCGGGATACTTTTTTGGCACGCATTTATACCGACTAGCAGAACCGGTATCTGCACATTTCTTCCGAAAAGCGACTTTCAGCATTCTTAATCACTTATTATGATTATTAAGCCTCATAAATAATTATTAGGGTCAATTATGGAATCATTTCCTATTTTCTCGTAATTTATTAATTAAATTCCTTAATTAACGGTGCGGGTTCTTACAAACCCCATGCTCATTCAAAAAGGCAACAAAGCCCAACATCAATCTCAACATCAGCAACATACTAAAAGCAAGCTAAAAACATAAGCATCAGCAGATATATACAGCATCCAACGTATAAGCAAAATAAACAGCAAACTCATCAACTAAGCTTCGGCCTCCTGCCGCTAGAGGCATCAGCCCCCACTACCTGAACCTGAAATAAGCGTCCCCAAACGTGGGGTGAGATCTCTAAACAAGAAATCTCAGTAAGACTAGGGGTCCTCAAGGATCTTCCACCCCAAGCTCACTTACATGTGCAATATAAGTTCCAAAATAGTTCAACAATATCATTTCCAAATAGTGCAATGCAGCAGAATATAATGTCATGTGTGTCAATATTATAATCTACTGGCCAGAGAATATAGGAATACGTCTATTACCCACACATAATAGTACAAGGAACATCACTTGCACCTCACCCCAGTCTCACCATCTTGTATGTACCACATACTCAGGCTTACCATATAGGTGGAACACCAAATGCATATCATAAAGCCATTGCACATATCAGCTCAAAAGCATTTCATTATATCAAAGCATGTAACACAACATGCATATAACCATTCCCCCATGGGGTATGGTGGAACTACACAATGGCTAAAGCGAGGACACGAAAGCTTACCTCTCAAGCTAACTATCCAAGCCAAGAGTCCAACCAATGCTCACAACCCAAACACAGCAGAATCACAATCTGATATGGACCAATAATATATCAAAAAACATGCACTACAAGCATACATCACAAAGACAACGCCTTCTCTTACGTTTTACGTCTTTAGGCTCCTCACAAAGCCACAAGCCCTTAATCCATTGATTCTAACTTAGTCCAATTAATACAGAAGTCCAACTTCCTCAATCTAGGGTCCACAAACCTCCAAACATCAGTTCTGGATGAACAGTAAGCTACTGTTCCTCGCAAACCCAGAATATTCGGACATTTGTCGGGGACATATCCGGATATCACTCTGCCAATATTCGGATATCCATATCCGAATATTCAGATCCCCTTATCCGGATATCATATCCGGTAATGCCTCCAAATCTTGAAAGCGAAAACAATCGCAGCCAACTCCAAATCAGGAGTCGGGTAGTTCTCCTCATGAGGCTTCAACTACCTCGAAGCAAAAGCAACAACTCTACCAAACTACATCAACACACATCCCATCCCCTTTCCAGAAGCATCACAGTAA